CCCCCCCTTCCTCTGTCCTCCTCTGTCCCTTTTCTTTGCAGTGGTTGCCTTGGCAAAAGCAATGGCCACGGATCTCCTTTGTCCCAAGACTGTCTTCGACGACTGAAAATCCATTTCACAGCCTTAGCATTCATCATGAGTACATCTCCATCCTGGATGTGGTCCATTTTTCTCCTTAGTTTATTTGGAGGTTACCCCACCCTTTCTGTGCTGGACCTGGTTCACCTACAGTGCTACAGTAGCTCTGTGCGTAATACGCCCAGTGGGGTGTCAATCTGGCATTGTGGCTGTTAGACCTTATTTTAGGTTGATCACACAGAATTGTTTTTGACTGCAAAGATAAGGAAGAGATGTTCCCTGACAGGACCCCTGGTGGCCGGATCTATCCACTTCTTGATCGACACGATCCAGAGGACATGAAAATATTGCTATAATGGCCAAAATGCTGCTAAACGATAATGGATTCATAAAATACATTAGGAATATGGTAAAAAGAATACACATGAAAGTAGTCTCTAAGGGTGACGGTATTACATTCTGTGTGCATCGTTAGACTTTTGGTGACCTTAGCCTCTCCTCCAGCTGCTAGGTTAAAACAGCGGATTTCAACTGCTGTCTGACGGCCATTCGGCTCCAGTTAAGCTGCATTTAGATTATGTGTTGCGTACTGCGAATCGGAAGCAGACTGATAAAGTTTGTTTGTAGATTATCTCACAGAGACCCAGGATGCTTTGGGCTTTTATTCACTGGACCCACAATCTCTTTCAGGAGGCTCCCAGCCTCTCAGACTGGCATCGGTACATTGTCCAGCACCCAGCCTGTCCTCTCTCTGTCTCAGAGTGGCATCAGTAGGTTGTCCAGTGCCCAGTCTGTCCTCCTATCAGCTTGTGTCTGTGTGTCACTGGCCTACGAGAGACTATAACAAAGCAGTTTGTGACTTTCACTAACAGAGCTTGTCGCTCCCTGGTGAGGGAGTGTGAGCCCTTCAGTTTTCTGCCCCCCGCATGTATCCCTTTGCCGGCTTGTCCTTCTGCCACTCTAAGCTGTCTGAGATGCTGCCTGTCTCCCTGCATCTGTTTCTCCTTCTGTCCCTCCCTCAGCTCATCGCTCCCTCGGCCAGCCTGCCGCTCCTGTTTCACGCGCAAAAGTGAGAATTCTGGCCTCAACAGAGTGAAAACTCCACTAAACTTTAGATCCCGGATCTATTTTTATTCCCGGCAAATGATCCCTTAACCCTGAATAGGATGTCGAATCATGAATGCAATTAAAAATATATGTGCGATCTCTAGTGAAAACCAACATTTATTACTCGCACAGATTTTCCTCCTGCTACAATTATCAACGATTAAAAAAAGAGAACAATAATAGGCTTTTGTGGCAAAGTGTGACCTAAGCAAAGGCATAAATGCTTGCTGAAAGATGCCTGGACAGAAAATATAGAAAATTATGGATCTTTGTGGTTGTACTGGAAAGATGGCCATTAGCAGGTGTAACTGGAGATGGGGTATAGGGTGCAGGGCACAAAGCAACGCCTGGACAGCGAACAGGGGTCTGCTGGGAACTTTTTATCTGGACATCAGACCTCAGTGACGACTAGGGAATTGAGCAAATTGAGCTAAATTCCAGTAGAGCCTTCGTGAAGCCCTTGCTGGTGCCTAGAATACACACTCACACACCGCCACTATCTCCTTCAGCCTGTCATGTTTATTTTCGTAGCTTCCTCTTACGATTTTCTTTTCTGTGGATTCCTATTTTAATCTCCAATTCAGCCACCACCCATCCTTGCCCCATCTCCTTTTCCCAGCCTGCCATCTTCCTAAAGATTTTATGGTGGTGTTAAATGATAGATGAGGCTTACTTGATAGCTTGTTCTTGTCTGTCAGAAATCAAGTCGGTTCTGTCTGGCTGAGAACCACAGGGAGTCGGTGTGATGCGTTGCGCGTCCGGGTGGGTGACTACATATGGACCGGCGTCTCTCCTTCTCTATTTGGGGAAGCGTGCGTCTTGTTTTACGAGATGCCTTCAGTTTGTATGTGGTGGGCTGCTGGAGGAGCAGGAGTGCATTTCCTGCCCTGGAACATCACTCGAGCAGCACAGATGCGCAGTACAGTGCGCGCCTCCTCTTCACCTCTGTTAGGATTCGGTTTTGGCCAATTAAATTTTGATGATGAAGTCAAAGTGCCTGCCCCAAAGTGTGCTTTCTCACTGCCCAACTGGAAGACTGGAAATACGTGCTCTCCATTTACCCATCCATCTTCTAACTGCTTGTCCAGTGAAATGTCACAGAGAGCGTGAAGCTTATTTCAGAAGATACAGGGTCCATGGCAGGGGATGTCACGATCGGGTTGAATGTGAACGGAAAAGCAGGGAAAAGGAGCCAGGAAGTCGACGAAACGGGGCTTTATTCGGACAACAGGACCGGGGAAGCACGACAGTGAACATCAATGACAAATCTGGGGCAGACCGACTCAGACGAGGACTAAATACACAAGACTAGGCAAACGGAACAGGCAACAGGTGAGAACAATCAGGGATGAACACGAGGTAACGAGGTGGGCGTGGCACACATTAGGAGCGGACGGAGCTGGGCGTGACAGGGGACATGGTGGATGGGATGCCTGTTCGCCATGAGGCTTTACACAAACCCACACAATTTAGAGACTGGAATTAGCATAAGAAAATTAGGGCACCCCCAAGAAATCAGCACAATACACAGATGTAGGGTAAATGGTCAATGGACTGCATTTATATAGCTCTTTTCTACTCCTACGAGTACTCAAAGCGCTTTACAATTTATGCCTCACATTCACCCATCCACACACACATTCACACACCGGTGGCGGAGGCTGTCATGCAAGGTGCCAACCTGCACACTGGGAGCAATTTGGGGTTCAGTGTCTTGCTCAAGGACACTTTGATGGGGTCAGGAAGAACCAGGGCTTGAACCTGCAACCTTCCAGTTGCCAAACAATAGCACTACCTCCCGTGCCACCATCTTCCCCAACACACAATCATCCCTGATTGTTCTCACCTGTTGCCTGTTCCGTTTGCCTAGTCTTGTGTATTAGGGGGCTGGGATTCACACCTCTAACCCTGTAGGTTTGCGGCAATACTGCTACACCCTGAACCACCCATGCTGTACTTTCAACAGTTACCAAATTGTGGGTAATATAAGTGCATTGGTATTTTAAGGGTTGTGCCAGATATTGTAATAAGAGCAGGGGTGAAATTTGGAGGGGGGGTAGAGAGGGACCCTCTACTTTCATTCATTCATTCATTTGTAACAAAACATTTAGATTGAATTTCTAATCCAAACCATTTAAGTTAATATAAGAATCTATAATAATATAATATACCTTAAATTTGGCCAGTCAATCCGCTGGTGCGATAGCCTCCTCCCCACAATCGGGAATTAACCGACAGCACTCCTGCCCCCATACTGAGCGCTAAGTTTTACTGCTAGCACCTCATGCTTTGATTAGCATTCTATTGATGTTCTCTCATATTATTTAATTCCCTCTAGGTCCAGAAAAATAGCTCAAATGCCCCCCTTAGGGGCCCCCCAAACCATGTCAACCTACAGCCCCCCCAGAGAAGCTAATTCACCCCTGAATATGAGCATGTAACCTAAAAGTACTGAAACTGAATTATTCCAATATCCAGCTGTATAAAATGCTAAAAATTGCAGTCGCTAAATATATAAGTGTCAGCTAAGCAATATGGCTGTTAAAAACCACGCTGTGTTCCCTGCTATCCAACCGTGCTTCTAATTGCAGGTGCTTTTGTTCAGACTTCAAATTTTATTTGAAAGCAATCAGTTGCTGTAGGAAATCCATGACCTCACATCCTGTGACTGCCCTTTCCTTTAGCTTCACTCCTGTGTGTCTTAATGAGAAATTTCTCACCTTCCACTGCCAGCGGCAGCACAGTGTCTTTCAGATTGCTCCGCCTAAATCGGTGACACTGACAGCTGGGCGTGTCTATGCAAATGATAGGGGCGTGCCTATGGTAATCACAGCCAGCTGATTGGCAGCCCGTGAAGGAGCTATGTAAATGCCGTCAGCTCTTACTTCCTGGAATGTTGTGCTGCATGCTGGTTTTGGTCCAAAACTGGGCTTTCAAGCACCTAATTGATCAAATTATTTACTTGATTTGATGTAAGTGCTCTTGGCGAGGCCATCGATGCAGTGATCATTTGTAAGCTGGACGCTCTGCTTGTGGGATGCAGCGGGGTGTGAAAAGGGCTGCCGGGGGGGTCCATGTGGAAAAATGGGGGCGGACCAACAGCTGAAGCGGAGCTGCAGGGGCTGGCAGGGGGCCTCCTCACTTTTGACCACAGGCTTGTAACATGTGGGTCAGTGGTTCCTAATCCAGTCCTCAGGGACCTACAGCCAGTTCATGTTTTTGCTCCCTCCGTGCTCCCTGCCAGACAGTCCACATTTTTGCTCCCTCCTAGCTCCCAGCTGGGAGCAAAAACATGGACTGTCTGTGCGTCCCCGAGGACCAGATTGGGAAACACTGCTGTAAGTTGTCACTCAAGGTGTAGGAGGGGCCCACAAATTACTTAATGCAAACTGGGTGGGTGAAACTCACTGTAAATGGCTTTAGATAAAAGCATCAGATAGGTATAAATGTAAGAAGTGTATCACAGACATGCTCACTCTCCCAGGGCAATTGCTCAGTGCTGTATAAACAGCCCAGGTGGAAGAAGGGAGCGACTGTCATTTCAGGGCTCTTCTGTAATTAAGCGAAGGAAACGTGTTGCATTTTCACTTCACTGCACTGAACAAACTGCAGCTCCTCTGACTAGTGCGCTTTCCCCGAGGATGTGTTCAGGCTGAATGACCCCTAGCATCTCCTTGCAGACAAGGCGTGAAGTCTGCTTCTGAATGCCCATTAAGGGTGTGGTTAGGGAGACCCTACTCCTTCTGCTCTCTCCTGGGTGTGTATTATGGTCTAACAGCTTGCCCTGCATCTCCCCACGCTGTCTTATCTTGCAGGGGAAGAGGAACAAGCCCGGGGTGGAGGCTGCAGGAACGCCAGACTCAGCTCGTGGCCGGGGGGAGAAAAAAGCCATCAAGTAGGTGCTCAGGGTGGGGGGGGGGCGGGGGGTCGTAGCTACACCTCGGCACCCGGACGAATGGAATCCACTGAAACTTATACAGGACATACAGGACAGGGCACTGGTGCTCTCCCAGCTCAGTCTATACCAGCCTTAGCTTTGGTCACCTTAGCAAGGCTGTGAGGTCCAGGTCAAAGGACTCTGGGCTGGAGAAAGCTGAGCAGAAATCCAAGACAGAAGAAGAGACGTCCTTCTCGTCATATCAGCTGATCGTCTTCCAAAATCTGTGTACACTATCTATGAAAATCACGCACAATCGCACACCCACCCAGGAAAATGCAGAGCCGCAGTGATCCTTTAACACCAGTATTTTACATTCTTTGTTCCAGCTGTTACGACGTTTGTTGAACATCACTGCTGAATTTTTATGCAAACACAACTTCTGAATTCCCCTGGCAGAGGATATTTCAGAAAGTAATATGCAGTCCTGAAGCATCTCCTAGATCGCCCTGACCTTTGTGTGCAGAGAGAGAGCTTGGTGTGCATGAGAGTGCCCAGCTGGCGTGCTGCGTCCGGTGCGGCGTGTAGCATTGCTGGTGGTTTGTTTGTGGTGGACATCAGCCCAGGGCACCAAGGGCCGGTGGCAGGAGGTCGGAAGGGCCAGCTTCCAGCACCCCATCAATGTCCTGCTCGAAAGTCACAGAAGAAACCTGGATCAAACAGCCACCACGGACTCCATGCTGTAGATGCACAGCTAATGATTGGCAGTCTGCCGATTTAATGCAGGCAGAATGTGACACACCAGGGACACAGGTGTGGAAACGTGTGCGCTTAGTGCTTATAAGAATGCCCGGGCGTGCATGAGCGTTCACACATTCCAGAAATTGTAGGGTGATAGATAGGGGCAGAAGGCATGAGGGACTTGGACAAGGGAAAGACAGCGATCGATAGCTGGTCTCCGCTGTCCAGATGGAGGCGTGACCACAGTATATGCCAGGGAGCCGGCAGCTGTTGCCAATTTAGAAGTGCTATGCGACATCCACACACATTCCCTTTCTGCACTCTGGCTGCAGGTCAACGCCATCCATGACTCTCCCCAGGAGGGGGTGGGAGAGGTGAGGTCCTCTCTGCCTCCCCATGGGCAAGCCACCCCACCCCCGCCCCCCAAAACAAGACAGATCAGTCACCAACATTACAAAAAAGAAATAAAAAAATACAACACACCGACAACTTTAAATAAAATATTGTGATTAGTATTTAGTTATATTTAGCAGCCAGAACTACTCAGGGAATATGTACTGCATTAATTACAGACCTAGATGAATATGTTGGACAATTTGCTCAAAAGGACGGTAAGGTATTCAGGAGGTAACGTCATCCAAGGAACGTTATCTCTGAGATGCAAGCCCAGTGCCTAGAGATTTGTATTTTGACGAACAGTGAAATGTGTGAATTGCTGGGTTGAAGGTTGGTGCTGTACTGTTTGTGTTCTTGTCAATAAAACAGCCTTGGGTTTCCTTCAGCTCCTTTAATCTTTTTTTCACCTCGGATATGCAGTATTGAAATTCCCTTTCCTTAATGGGCCTCTATGTGGTGCTGAAGCAGCGGGCCTAGTGCTGGTCATCCTGTGTTTGGTTCACATGACTTCCTGTGCAATAACGCCTTGACACTTTCTTCTGCCTTGTACAGTCTGATGCTGGGTTGACCTGGTGTTCTTTCATTACAGTGTGCTGCAGATTTGTACTGGGGCTTCTATCGCAACCATAAAGTCCTTCCTTTCTCTGTTCCCAGCCGAGACTCAAGCAGCGAACCCAAATTGTGTTTTAGAGCCTTTCACTCTTACTTTCGTTCTCTAACCTTTTCACCACCGTTTTGTCTCTTTCTCAGAACAGCGCTGCATTACTGAAGGGGTAAAATGGTGTTCTTGGGGTTGATTCAAAGTATATAACTTTATTTGCCTTTGTTCCTCTCCAAACTGCCCCTGACAGATCAGTCCCAATAAACAACCATTTTTGTCCTCAGGCGCTCCACATAAACACACCTCGACTACATGGACCTTTAGGATTAGAAGACCACACCCACCACTGTTTTCCAGACACTCCCATTTTCCCTATAAACTGAAGCACTTGTTCTGGCTTCAGAAGCCCCTCCCACGCGCTCAGCTGTGATTGGTTGTTTTTCTCTGACCTGTCTCTCTCTCTGGCCACAGTGATCTAGACAGAGACTTTTGGAATAACAATGACAGCAGCACAGTGCAGCAGAAATGGAGCTCCTATCCACCCAAGGAGTTCGTACTAAACATTTCTCCCTATGCCCCTTATGGAGATCCTCGCCTCACGCTCAAGTGAGTCTCGGTCGCGGCTGGTAAGAGACCTCTCTCTGTGCAGGGCTGTAAAGAAAGGGGGCCTCCCTCTCCCTGTCTCCTCTGTGTAACCCCCCCCCCATGCCATCAACATGCATCCACTAATACAGCATCGCAAAAGGTGCCTCACCGCTTAGAGGAACATGCATATGAATGTGCATATGATATGCACTCCCCACTATGCTTTGCTCAGAAAAAGCAAGTCTAGCCTTGTTGATTATTTATATAATCGTTTTGTTTGACGTCTTCTGCACAATTAATGTTTATGTGACCTTCATGCTATGCTCTGCTATGGTACACTTCCTGTGGTTTAGCTTTAACACGATCTCATGCATAAAAATTACGTAAAAGGTGCAGTTTTATGCATCGTTAAAGGGCAGCAGACACACTGTAACTGTGCTTATGGAACATGGTTGTAAAATGTCCAACCCTGCATGTCCAAAATTTAAATAGCCAACTCTAAAGCACATGTGAATACAGTGGTGTGCCTATCTGTTGAACGACATAATTGACTCTCTTTATGTTCCGCCCTCCTTTAAAAAAAAAATGCACAATGGCATTGAGCTCAAGATGAAAAAGCTTGTAGACCCTATAAAATCAGTCAGCGGTAGAAGTCGCAGAGTTTTCATACTCTTCCAGATACTGCAATCCTCATTGATTCTCATATAGACAGGACTCCTCATTTGTAGACCAGAGTAGACTAGACACACACCCCCCTACAGAGGCACTGCCCCCAAGCTGGAGGTCCATTCTCTCTGACACCCAAACCGCCCCAATAATTTATGGTCAGTTCCGTACACGTGCCACAACAAGGAAACACACACATGCATAAAAAATGCCCCCATTCCCTACAGCCCTGCCAGTCTCACTGACCCCTAACCTCTAAACTTTTACCTCCAGCCCATGGGGTGTAACCATGGAGACGGGCAACCCTCGTATCCACCAACTCAAAAACCCTCACACACTCCATTGCTCCAAGGCACCAAGCTACACATTAGGGACTTGACCCCCCCAGCGCACTCCCTCCTCCTGCTTAAGCTGTCCCCTCAATGTTTTCATGGAGGGTTGACCGTTGGATTTGGGCATGGCGTCGCTCCTTCTCTTTGGCTGTGTGTTATAGTATGCCCTGTGCTGGATTTGATTTGCCTCTCACGTCCCCTTCCCTTCCAACTCACCTGTCCCCTCCCAAGCTTTCGACTCAGCTGCCTGTCCCTCTCGGCATCAGTTGCACCAGTCAAACACTGGTTGGAGCTCTCAAGATAAGAGAACCTTGCCTTTTTTAATCCAGAGACGTTTCCTCACTGCTTTATGATCCTAATATGCTACGATTTGTTGAGGAAACCCAACCGTCTCTTCCTGGTCATGCTGTAGTGAGGAGAGGTTTAGAATTGGCGCTCTAGCTAAGCTCTCCTATGTTTTCATGCTATTGATTGGCTGCATTAGATCAACACACGCACAAAATGTTCGTAGAAGTTTGAAAGGAAGTTGGGGACCTCTTGGATTAACATGGCAAGGAGGTATCTCCTAGGATCTGTGTATGAGAGCGTCAGATGATAGCTGCAGATCTTCACATAATCCAACTGGAGACTCATACGCTGCGTTCAACAGAGTCTATGTAGACCATATAATTAATGCTACCTTCCTTGATTCTAATATGTGTCTCATTGCATCAAGGTTTCTCTAGATTAATTATCAGAGTAAAGTATTTGCAGTCCTTATCCTGATGCCAAGAAAGCATATTCCTGGATAGTACTGCTGCTACACACCAGGTGTGTGTGTGCCCATGAGGTTAACGCGAGCCTGAGGCGTCTAACCTACTCGCTTGTGAGTGGCCATTCACGCTGCCCCCCTCACCTCGGTAGCCCTTGGAGCGATGGAGCTCAGCTTGAGATTAGGATGGGATCTGCAGCTGTCCATCTGAGGAGTGACCTTATCTCTTTTATGACTGTTCTTGTGCTGGTCGGTGTGGTTGGTGCAAAGCACAGGTAAAAAGGCTACTCTGCAGGCCTGGGCTACGTGGGAGGGGGATGTTGACTCGGGATGTTGACTTGCGCTATCGCGTTCACTGGTGTGCAAAGCTGCGGGCCGACTTCCTTCTTCCATACACAAACACAGAAAGGTTTTGTGCCTCATTACACCTGACTCTAACGCTCAGAAAAGTACACAGGATCACCGTAGACATTAGCCAATGTTAGCAACACAGTACCATTACCACAAATGACACACACATGGTTTTGTTAGGTAACACTGATTAGAAGAAGTATAGATTCCTGATTATATTAAACACAGTTGAGGTGCGGTGTCATGTTTCTTTGCTGCACCTTGTACATGGTTCAGAATTAAATTTTCAGAATAAGTAGCTATAGCACATCACTAGTCACACATAGCATCTTGTTCAGGTAACACATCTTGCTCAGGTGCAGCAACTCAAGTGTCCTCTGGCTCACTGGGTCATGTGACCATTTCCCCATTGCAATGTGAGCATAGACACAAAAAGCAAACTTCTCCAACAAATCCCAGTCCGCCCTCCCACCTGATCAGGCACTGCGAGCCCCTGCACCGCCATTCCACATGACCGCTGCTCCTGCCAACCAGAAAGCTGTAGGCTGCTGGTTACGCCCCCTGCCTCCTTCCCCGCTTCTTTCTGTGGATCATTATGGGCTGTTTTACTGCACTGACCGCTCTGCCCCTGTCCATCTCTCCCTCTGTCCCTCCCTTTCCTCCTGCTCCTCCTCCTCCCCTCTCTCTCGCTCCCAGTGGGGCTGTGCCGGGGGGCCAGAGGGGGGCGGCAGGTGGGGGCGGGGATGGGGGGGGTCCCTGTCGCAGCGACAGCGTCAAGAGTATGGTCACGGGGGGCAGCAAAGCTGGGAGGTGGCAGGCGGTCCAGAGCCACATGCAGTCGGGCGTCCTGAGGCCCAGCAAGTGAGTGAGGGGGTCCTGGGGATGCCACAGCGGGTCGTGGTGGGGTCTGTGGGTGGTCTGTGTGGGGACTACGGGGGTGTTGCTTGTATATGCCGTGTGAAAGGGATTTACTATGGGCTATGGTGGGCTTAGAACAGGAGGGCATGCTGCATGACCGTGTTTATAACATATAAAGCAATGCCCCTCCCCCAAATATCTACCCTTGTATGTCCATGTGAAAGCTGGGCATACAGCTTGGCATCCATCGACCTCCGTGGCTTAAACACAGACACACACACATACACACACACACACACACTGTGATAACCTGAGGACGGAACTCCACAGCTACTTCTATATTCACACGGGGACTCAGATGTGCTTAAATTACAAAGAACACATTGTCCAGGTCTTTGTGCTCCTTTAGCGTTTAGAACTAAGAACTCCCAGCAACGCTGCATCATTTAAAAACAGCCAGACCGTGCATAAGATAAGCTGAGTTTTCCCACTGAAAGGGCATGAACATTTTTGTTTAATATAAATGTAAAGATGTATTATGCAACAATTATGTCCCTTGTGGTAACAAAGAGAATTACAAGGCAGTATAAAATAATGTCCTTTTAGAGCAGGGCCTTGGCAATTATGTCCTGTGGAGGGCCAAATCCAAACTTCACCATGTCAGCAGGTTTGATTATCTTCATGTCCGATGAAAGCTACACTAGAAGATTAAAGCTACACTAGAAGGCTTTTTTTTTTTTTAAAGGCTCGTTCGTATTTCATGTAATAGTATTTGCAATTTATGGGATTTCAACATAAACCTTTACTTGATGTTTTTTATTAATTTAATTTAATGATTGGGCCAGAAAAAATAGTTGTGTGGGCAGGATTAGATCTGCACAGCAGCTTTTTCCAGGTCTGCTTCAGAGCGTAGAGGACTGCAGCTGCCTTGTGTTTGGTAGCTACTTCCCTTGCATTCTGGGAAAATAAATTATAAAACAAAAATTCTTCTCATGAAGAATGTTTTTTAACCAAGGAACATCTCTCCCTCTCTCGGGTTGTTGTTTTAGACCTAAAATGTGGCCCACAATTTCTGAGTGCGATTTCTGTCACTGGTCCTGGGAGCGCTGGATCAGGACGTCATTACTCACATACTATACGAGGACTGGCGAAATATTACACGCACATAATACGGTCAGCTGAACATCGGCCCAAAAAATTTCCAGCAGGTCAGAAATGTTTATTGTGGCTCTTGATATGCCACAATTATCAATGTTTTTCGGTACCTTGTTTTGCGGCTGTAATGGTCATTACGGGCGTTATATAATAACAACGTATTATTATTATTATTATTATTATTATTATTACCACTGCTAGGGCTGTGACACCTTGAAAGAAGACTTGCAGACATCAAAGGTGCTGTGTACTCTATGACTTTCATCTCCTTTGTAACTAATGATAAAATAATTACATTCTCTTTCGCTAAGAGAACAACATATTAACTAATTATATTTACAGTTGGCCATAGCACTGGGGCATGAGCTATGGGGAGTCACAGCTAGTGTGCTAGCAGGCTAGTCGGTAGATGGGGAGGTCAACAGCATCTGATTTTAACATTTATAGCTAAGAATAAAAATCAATTAATGGAATAAAAGCTGGCATCAGTACGCTTATGTGTTTCCTGCAGTCTTTGTAATTACAGGCCATTAAATACCCGTGCTCACACGTTTAAAGGTTTGGTTTACTGGTGGTGTGCCATGCTATTCTGAATTAATAGCGGAAAGTGTAAAAATATCCAAACATGCAGATTGCGTCTCCCTGCTGTGTCCCCCGTAGAGGGCAAAAAAGGGCATCCAGAGGGGCATGGCGTTTGTGAATACGGTGTGGTTCATCATAGCCACATGATCAAAACTGGCCAATGACGTGTTAAAGCCCAAAGCAGCAGATGAAGCAGAAGTGAGGCAGTTACCACGGCTTTTCACTCCCTTTGTTTAACGCCTCTGTTTCACACCTCAAGTCCGTGACCCCCCCCATCTCTCCCCACTTTCTCTCCCCTCTTTGCTACTTCACCCCTCCTCTTTCTC